AAAAAAATCTTTAATAATATGTAAATATGAATCTCTAATCCAAAAAAAAGAATTTACTAGGAAAACAATACACATAAAGAAGAAATTCTTTACTGAATCAATAGCTTGATGTTAGGGTGACTTATAAGTACTGTTGACCTTATAGTTCAAACCAGCCAGGTGGTCCAGTGCATTATCCTGCAGTACCACACCAGGACTCCAAATTCTAAATAGCTTCATCAAAAATGATCATTTAAAATGCAAAAGTGTCACTCCTTCCTTATTAGATTTATTTTTATTTTAAATCCCTTATAGGTTCCACCTTTAAAAAATACAGTATTAGATCAAAACAAAATTCAGAGATAGTCTGACTTAAATGACGACTAACAAAATGCTAAGGGACAATCTAGAAATGGAAGTTCTTTCATCTAGCAAACATTTATTAAATAAATGCCTGTTAAATACCAGGCACTGTGCCAGGTATGGGGCACCCCAGAGAACAAAAAACAAAAATCACTGAACTCTTCTACATTTAAGGAAAAATTATAGTCCCTGGAATTTTGACCCATTAAGTACTTATGTAATTACATTTTAGATTTGTTTTTGCTATTTGTCTACAAAACAACAAAGATAGACTCTACAGTTGTTGGGACTCTCACCCAGTTGTCCTCAATGATGGGGGCAATTTTATTTGGAGGGGGGGTAGTCTCACTAGTGGGTAAGGCCAGAGAGCTCCAAGGACACTGCAGTGGGATGAGTCTTTCCCACAAAGCACTGCCTACCCACTAAGGGACACAGAGCTGTTGTTGCCTTGTGAAGTGGCCAAGCCAGAGACGGTATTAAAGTTGTGAACTGTTTTGTACTAGAGAACACATCAGAGAATTTAATTAACTTGAAAAATATTTATGAAATATTTTATTAAGTACAAAATTATCTACCCAAACCAAACACACTGCCATTGAGCCAATTCTGACTCATAGGCCCCTCTAGGACGGAGTAGAACTGCCACCACAGGGTTTCCAGGGCTATAAATCTGCACCCAAGCTGACCGTCACCTCTCTCTCCTGCAGAACAGTTTTAACTGTGGACCTTTTGGTTAGCAGTCAAGCATGTAACTACTGCACCACCAGGGTTTCCTCAAAATATATTATACAAAACTTTTTCAGTAAAAACGACCCAGAAAGTACAAAACTACTTAATAACTGGGTTTCTCTTCCTTGATTTGGTCAAGAAACTCATGGAGGCATAGCACAGGTGCTTGAAAAGTATTTACTGTAATAAACAGTTCTAAGAATAAGAAAATTTGACACTCAGAAGACTGTTTTATATTCTGCTCATTGATTTCTTCCAAGAGTATACTAAACTTCAGAAGGCCTTGAATTATGACTATGAGGAAAGCACAGGTAAGCAATCTCTTCAATACAATTAAGTGGTATTTGAATCCCCTTGGGGAGACTTGTTATTTTAATATAGACTGCTGGGCTCCACCCTTTGAGAAACAAACTATGCAGGAATATCCACAGGCTTTTTCTAATAGCTAATAAATAAAGGAGCGCTTCAGATATACATTCATGCCCTTATCAAACTTCACATACTCAGACTCTTGAAATGCCCTACTTACACAGAGCATAGTTTCTGGCTCACGATACCCATGAGCTGAAAGACAGAACCACAGGCTATTTCAATACTAGATAATCCCTAACTACATGAAAACATTTCTTTACAAAATACGGAGCAACATTAAGGTACTGGGACCTTGTTCTTATATCCTCTTTGACTTTCCCCTGTAGAAAGTCTAGTAAGAAATCACAACGTGTATCGTGTTCCAGAATAGGACATAGCTGTTTGTGACCATATCCATGAACATCACAGTCAACTGGGACACTAAGACTCAGATTCAGGAACTTCTTCATCAGGGCAGCAGTAATACTCCACAAAGCTTATTTGTCCATCTTCATTTCTAATCATATACTGCAGAGAGAGGAATCCTCGGTTATCAGTTCGAATAGATACCTTACAAGATAGGACTAATGCCTTCGTAGATGGTTTCAGTAGAGAAATCTTGTATCTGTAAAACAGTAAATAATAAACTATCATTTAACACCGGTAAAGCAGTGCTCACTACTCCAAGTATAAAAATCAGCCAAGAAATAAAAAATAAGAATAAAATCAAATACTTGTCCAATTGGACATATACTTCCTCTTGATTTTTAAACCATTTTAGATCCCAAGTCCAATACCTTACTGTTCATTTTTTTTAAATGTACATTTTTATTCATAAATGTAAAAATGTTTTTTTTTAAATCTAAGAGGAATCTGGACTCTAACTTCACCTTCGTCACCAATACCCACTACTATACTGAGTACTGACCTATTAACCTGGGTCTGATTACAGTGAAACGCTTCCATCAAATCAGAATCTTTGGGATAGTCAAGGTGGGCGCTTCCTGCATTTCCAAAAGTAGACAACCTATAATAGAAAAAGAATGAGCATCTCATTTATTCATCATTCCAACATGTTAAGGGCCACTGAGACAGTTCTGACTCCTAGCAATCCTGTATAGGGTTTCTATAAAGTGGCTGATGGGTTTGAACCACTGGCCTCATGATTAACAGCCCAGTACTTATCCTTTCGCATCACAAATGTCTTCATAAAAGGCTCATTCTAGTGGGGAAACAGACATGTAACAAACTATTTACATTATGAGAACTTCTGGTAAGATGGTAGACTGACTACACAGATGTACTCATGGACCCTGGATACTAAAGCTATGAGACCAAATGACACATGCAGATGAAAATGGCCCTGAACTTCAGAAGGAAGGTGACAAAAGTGGACTCAGTGCTTTCTGGGTAGAGAAGCTGAGCAGGGACGATGAGAGGGGAAGACAGACTGGTGAACAGCCAGCAGACTCCACGCGACCATCTGATGAGCAGTTTTGGCAACAGAAGGTAGCCTGGCAGAGCAGATTCATACACATGTTAGGAAATCTGGGAGTCCTTCTTTTTCTCCAACTCCCCTGGTGACCAGAGGTGTAGACAGCTCCTACTTGCATCCACTCCCAGCAGACTCTGCTCTCCAGATGAGAGCCACGTAGTCCAGAGCACGTCAGCGTGAGGCGGAGCCGGCTATGCTGTTTCAGTGTCCTGCTTTGGTGCTTGGATTCAGCCCTACAGAACCTGCAGAGCCAGCAGTCACCTTGTCCTCATCTGCCCTGTGGTCCTAAACAACACTGAAACCAGCTCCATCAAGGGGCTCCAGAAACTACTACTGGATTGCGAGCTGTGTTATACCGAGGCCAATAGGAACTCTCTCTAGGGCCAGAACTAGGCTATCACATCCCTCCCACGTCTACTTCTTGAGGTCCTTGGCTTGCTGAGTTGCTTCCATTCTGGGGCCAATAGCTATAGTGTTATTTTGTTTTTCTTTTTGGGTTTGGTTTTATCCTTGTCTTATTTCATTGTCTTTATTTTTTTCCTCCTTCTTCTTCTCTTTCTATGTCCTTGAATTTTATCCTGTCTCCACTGTCTACCACTCATCTGTCAGTTTGTCACACCATGGTGACTTGTGTGTTGCTGTGATTCTAGAAGCTATGCCACCAGTATTTTAAATGCCAGCAGGGTCACCCATGGTGGACAGGTTTCAGCTGAGTTTCTAGACTAAGACTAGGAAGGAGAGACGGATAACATTTGAATATTTAGTCACTGAAAATCTTTTGAATAGCAGTGGGACACTTGTCAAACAGCACCAAAATACTGAATATTAAAACATGATGAAGAGCAACAGAATATTGTCAGATATAGTGCCAGAAGATGAGCCCCTCAGGTTGAAAAGCACTCAAAATATGGTTGGGGAAGAGCTGCCTCCTCCAAGTAGAGTTGACCGTGATGACACGAATAAAGTAAAGCTTTCAAGACCTTCATTTGCTGATGGGGCACAACTCAAAATGAGGAGAAACAGCCGTAAACATCCTTTAATAATCATAACATGGAATGTATGAAGTACGAATCTATGAAAATTGGAAGTTGCAAAAATGAAATGGAATGCATAAACATTGATATCCTAGGCAATAGTAACTTGAAATGGACTGGTTGGTATTGGGCGATTGAATCGGACAATCACATGGTTTACTATGCCAGGAATGAGAAACTGAAGAGGAATGTCGTTGCACTCAACATCAAAAAGAACATTTCAGAATCTATCTTGAAGTAAAATGCTGTCTGTGATAGGATAATATCCATGCGACTACAAGAAAGACCAGTTAATACAACTATTATTCCAATTTATGCAACAACCACTAACACCAGTGATGAGGAAATTGAAGACTTCTACCAACTACTTCAGTCTGAAATTGACCAAACAGTAAACAATATATATTGATAACTACTGGCAACTGGAATGCAAAGTTTGGAAAGAAAGAAGAAATATCAATAGTTAGAAAACACGGCCTTGGTGATAGTTAAGGATGTTGGAGATCACATGATAGAATTTTGCATGATCAATGACTTCTTCATTGCAAATACCTTTTTTAAACAACATAAAAGATATACCCATGGACCTCATCAGATGGAATACAAAGAAATCAAAGTGACTACATCTGTGGAAGGAGATGGTGGAAAAGCCAAACATTAGCCAAAACAGACCAGGAGTATATATGGAACAGACAATCAATTACTCATATGCAAATTCAGACTGTAGCTAAAGAAAATTAAAACAAATCCATGACAGCCAAAATATGATCTTGAACATATCCCACCTGAATTCAGATATCATCTCAAAAACAGATTTGATGAATTAAACACTAATGACTGAAGACCAGAAGAGTTGTGGGATGACATCAAGAACATCACACACAAAGAAAGCAAAAGGTCTTTAGAAGACAATAAAGGAAAAGAGCAAAACGGAAGGCAAAACCCTGAAACTTGCTCTCCCATGTAGAGATGCTAAAGCAAATGAAAGAAATGAGGAGGTAAAAGAGCTGAATAAAAAATTTCAAAGGGCAGCACTAGAAGACAATTTCAAATACTGTAATGAAATGTGCCAAGACTTGGATTTAGAAAACCAAAAGGGAAGAACACACTCAGTATTTCTCAAGCTGGAAGAACTGAAGAAAAATTTCAAGCCTCAACTTGCAATATTGAAGGATTCTACAGGCAAATTATTGAATGATGAAAAAAGCATCTAAAGAAGACGGAAAGAATACAGAGTCACTGTACCAAAAAGTAATGGTTGATGTTCAACAGTGTTAAGAGGCTGCAAATGATAAAGAGCCAATGATACTGAAGGAAGAAGTCCAAGGTGCACTGGACGCACTGACAAAGAACAAGGCTTAGGGGATTGATGGAATGCAAATCGAAACATTTCAATAAACTGATGCAGCTCTGGAGGCACTCACTCATCTATGCCAAGAAATTTGAAGACAGCTTCCCGGCCAACCGATTGGAAGAGATCCATATTTGTACCCATTCCATGACCCAAAGGAATGTGGAACTCATTGGACAATATTGTTACTATCACATGCAAGTAAAATTTTACTAACGGTAATTCAAAAACAGCTGTAGCATTACATCAATAGGGAGCTGCCAGAGGTTCAAGCTGGATTCAGAAGAGGACGTGAAGCGAGGGATATCACTGATAATGTTAGATGGATCTTTGCTGAAAGCAGAAAATACCAGAAAGATGTTTACCTGCGCTTTATTGAATACACAAAGGCTTTTACTTATGTGGCTCATGACAAGCTATGAACCACATTGTGAAGAGTGAGTATTCTAGAACGCTTCATTGTGCTCAAGAGGAATCTGTACATAGACGAAGAGGTGGGTGTTCAGAAAGAACAAGGGAATGCCAAATGGTAAAGTTAGGAAAGGTGTGCTCCAGGGTTGTATTCTTTCACCATACTGATTCAACCTGTATGCTGAACAAATAAGCCAAGAAACTGAGTTATATGATGAAGGATAATCTGGCATCAGGATTGGAGGAAGACTCATTAACAACCTGCAATGTGCAGATGATACAACCTTGCTTGCTGAAAGACAAGAGGAGTTAAAATACTTATTGATGAAGATTGAAGTCTTTGGTATGGGTTGCATCTCCATGTAAAGAAGACAAATATCCTTACCACTAGACCAATAAACAACACAAGAAATCAAACGATGTGTTGTATTAGGCAAACGGCAGTCGAAGCCTTCTTTAAAGTGTTCAAGAACAAAGGTATCAGTTTGAGGATTAAGGTGGTTAACAGCGCAGCATTTCCTCTGAAGTGCCACCCGGGCTCCTTGGACAGTTTCTTTAACAGTATATTTCTATAGCCAACTATCCCCAAGTAGAGACCTGGTATGGCGCGACAGGATAAGTACTGGACTGCTAACAGCAACGGTGACAGTTCAAAGCCACGAGTCACACACTGGAAACCCTATACAGCGTCACTATGAGAATGAACAGCCTCAACAGCATTTAACAACTGCTTATGTGAGCGTTCTACTAAATTACATGTTGGTTATCAGATATTTCAATAGACCTTAATTCAAGTTTTTCCTGGTGTGGCACTGTAGGATCAGCACTGGACTGCTAACCACAAGGTCGGCAGTTCCAACCCACCAGCTGTTCCTTGGAAATCCTATACAGGGTCACTGAGAGTTGAAACCAACTCGACGGCACTTAACAACAACAACAATGCCACATGAAGAACTCAGGTGGCACATTGGTTAAGCACTTACTGCTAACCAACAGGTTGGCAGCCTAAATCCACTAGCTGTACCATGAGAGAAAGATACACCCATCTGCTTCTATAAAGATTACAGTTTAGGAACCCCCTGGGTCAGTTTTCCTTTTTTATATGTTGTGGGGGTGGTTAGGTGCTGTCCGGTCAGTTCTGACCCATAGCGACCTTATGCACAACAGAACGAAACACGGCTTACTCCTGTGCTCTTTGTACTCTTTCATATAAGGTCACTATAAATCACATCAAAAGCAATTGGTGTGATTTTTTAATGCACGACAAGAGTCTGCAAGTCTCTTGAAGCTGGAAAAAAAAAGTTTTTATTTCATTCCTCGCGTATTTCATTAATTCCTTTACTCCTTAATATTTTGAAAAATTAAAAAAACAAACAACTAGATCATCTCTCTAAATGGATTTTAATCCTAGAACGAGACTTTTGATGTTGTTAAGTGCCATCAAGTCAGTTCCTACCCATAGTGACCTGTATAGGGTTTCCAAGGAGCAGCTGGTGAATTTGAACCGCTGACCTTATGGTTCAAAATGACTTTGTACACCCACAGCGCCACATCAGGACATACCATTTTATAAATGCTGGGTCGAAATGTTAGAACAGTTTGATGGTTTCTGACATGATATTCCTGCTGAAAATTGCCCACCATAGGAAACTGACCCTAACTAGTCCATCCTAAGAACCGATGTACTGTATCCCTATACCCCTCTACATATAGTATCCAGAACCCCCAATGGATATCCAAATCCACATATGCTGAAATCCATTGTATAAAATGGCATAGTATTTGCATATATTCTACACATATATTCACATATACTTTAAATTGTCTCTAGATTATTTATAATAACTGAACATTGTAGATACCATTTTAAGCTCCCTTTCAGCCTTTGAGAGATTGTTCTGACCACTTACTTGCTTTGCCCACCCACTGAATATTTGTGATTGACAGCTGGTTGAATCTGAAGATAAGGCACCGGAAGGGCCAAATGTATTATTTTTAGTCCTTTAACGGCAGGCACTTCTGGGCTTTTTCACACATCTCCTCACTGCCATTAAGCTGTTTCTCCCCAGATACTCAAGACAGTGAATGAACCACACAGAAGACATTTACTTCCTTTTGTATTCTTCATTTATCTGAAAGGAAGCAGGGAGGGGCTACCTAATACACACACCTCTTCCAAAAGTTCAGAGCCAATTTCCCTCATGGATGTAACCTGATCTGCAGTAAGAAGTAACCCAGCATTGCTGTTGAACTAGGAGCCTGAACTCTTCACCTGGGAACCAACACTACCTATGAAACCCCAGTGCGTGAGTCTTTCTGCATTTGAGTTTACAGATCACATCTGTAAAATCATGAGGTACAACTAGCAGTTCTCTCAAGTTCTGAAAATTCTAAGCACCAGGGTAATAAAAGGTCCCCAAGCCAAGCAAACGTGCAAGTGGGTGGGGGCATGGCATGCAGACTGTATTAATCAGACGCTAGTGCTTTCCACGTACCGGAAATATGGCTTGTCCGGAGACATGGTGATCTGCAGCACCTCACTCGTCATGTCCAATTCGGAAAACGCTTCACGGAGCCCCTCGGACTGCAGAATGATTTTGTTAATAACGTTGGTGCTGCAGAAATCAAAATCCAGAGTCTCCTCAGGCTCCTGAGTATTGATTTTGCACACAGTCACCACTCCTCCTTCTTCCAAAAACAGCATCAGAGGGTACCCATAACCTTGGTAACACATCCGAAGGGCAGTTAAAGTGCCTGCAAGGGAAAGAAATCACACCTGGGGCTTAGCTCTAGAGTTGAATTCTGTTTCTACTCATAAGAACATAGAAAACTCCTCAAAAACAAGCTTATTCTACCTAATTTCTAGCCTATCCTAGGTAAGATAACATTTTTCCCTGATGACAGTTGTATGCAGACAAAATTGCAACTCCAGGAAAAGTAAGAACCAGAACTTCATGCTCTAAAATAATTTTCTACTTTATTAGATACACTGCTGCCAGAATGTGCCCTCTTGACATTTAAATGAATATATGTTTTGTGTTTTAAGTATACATCAAAATTATTTTCCTTGTTCTTTTATGAAATATAAGATGTAAATGGGGAGCCACAGGAAGGAAGTGAGATAAATGTTGCAAGGGAGGACTATAATCACTGAGATGAAACAAGGTGTACAGTTTGCTGAATATAGAGCTTGTCTGTAAGCTTTCACCCAATTCACAATACAAAGTCAAAAAATAAAAAAAATTAAAAATAAACCAAAAACGCTAAGAAAAAACATAAAGATCCTACTAGAATCCTGGTGTGGCATTAAGGGATAAAACACTGGACCGCAAGGTAGGCTTGAATCACAAGGTCAGTGGCTCAACCTCACCAGCTGCTCCTTGGAAACCCTATGTGGGGTCTGACCCATAGCGAACCCACATAGGGTTTCCAAGGAGCAGTTGGTGAGCTTGAATCACCAACTTTGCAGTTCAAACCAATAACCTTGTGGTTCAAACAGACCTTGCAGTCCAGCATATATCTCACAGTGCCACACAATAGATTAGCAAGCAAATTTTAGAAACAGGTAGTTCATAAGAGAATGTATGAATTGTAGATAAAAATGGAAACTTTTCCATCTTTTTTTTTTGATAAAATGATAACAAAAATGTTGCAGTGTCATTTACTAACTACCAAACTAGCAAATGATTACTCAATTTTTATTTTTTAGTTCGGTAAATGATGCAATTATTTTTGTTGTTGTCATTTTGTCAGATATCACATAGGATGGAAATATTTAATACCTACTAAACATGAAAATTAGGAGCTCTGGTAGCTTAATGGTTACAAATCGGTCTGTAAGCCACAAGGTCAGCAGTTTGAAACTACCAGCTGTTCTGCGGGAGAAAGGTGAGGCTTTCTGCTCCCAGAAAGATTTACAGCCTTGGAAACCCTGTACAGGGTCGCTATGAATCAGAACCGACTCCACAACACATAACCACGACCACCACCACCAAACAAGTAAATGAACTCTTGAAGAAGCTCATTGAACCCTGGAAGGATAGACTCCAGAAGAAAATCACCAAGACATATCATAATTAAGCTCTCCAAAGTCAAAGATAAGGAGACAATCCTGAAAAAAGCTAGAGAAAAGAGAAGTGTTATATACAAAGGGCAAGCAAGTCAGATTAAGCTCAGATCTCTCAGCAGAAACCATGCAAGCAAGAAGGCAATGGGGGAGAACAAACAAGATGGTGGATTGGGTGGATGTGTAGTAAAGAGCTCCGCCAACAACAACACAGAATACACGACCAAGCAGGCTCAGGGGATGGTCCCAGAACTCAACCACATATAAAGGACTTCGAACCACAAAGTTAGCAGTTCAAACCCACCGGCTCAGAAACCCTATACACGATCACTATGAGTTGGAATCGACTCAACAGCACTTAAACTAGTAAATGTAGAAAGAAAAGAAGGAAGAATGAAAAGTTGAGGCTTGAAAATTTTCTTCAGTTCTTTCATTTTGAGAAATGCTGAGTGCTCTTCCCTTTTGGTTTTCTAACTCCAGATCTGTGCACTTTCATTACATTTGACTTTGTCTTCTTGGGCTGACCTCTGAAAAATTTCTATTCAGCTCTTTTGCCCCCTCATTTCTTCCATATGCTTTAACATTTCTACACTGGAGAGTAAGTGTCATGCTTGTCTTCTTAATGACCTTTTGATTTCTTCCTGTATAATGTTCTTGATGTCATCTCACACAACTCTTCTGGTCGTCAGTCATTAGTGTTTAATTCATCAAATCTGTTATTGAAATGATCTCTAAATTCAGGTGGGAAATGTTCAAGATCATATTTTGGCTCTCGTGGACTAGTTTTAATTTTCTTCAGCATCAGTCTGAATATGCATGAGTAACTGAGTCTGTTCCTGTCTGCTCCTGGCTGTGTTTTGGCTGATGATGTGGAGCTTTTACACCATCTCTTTGCACAGATGTAGTCACTTTGATTTCTATGTAGTCCATCTGGTCAAGTCCACATGTATATATTTGCAATGAAGACGTCATTGGTCTTGCAAAGTTCTATCATGCGATCTCCAGAATCATTTCTATAAGTAAGACCATACTTTCCAACTCCTTCATTTCCAACCTTTGCACTCTGATCACCAACATACCTTGATTGCATGTTTGATCAATTTCAGACTGAAAAAGTTGGTACAATTAGTCAAGTTCATATCACTGGCTTTAGAGGTGGGTACATAAATCTGAATAATAGTGACATTAACTGGTCTTCCTTGTCTGTTGTTGTTATTGTTAACTGTTTCTGAGGAATGGTTGGTGAGTTTGAACACCCGACCTTGCAATTCAAATGACCTTGCGTTCTAGTGCTTATCCTACAGTGCCACACCAGGACTCCCATCTTCCTTGTATGTGTGTGGGTATTAACCTATTCCAGACAACATTATACTTCAAGATAGATTTTGAAATGTCCTTTTTGATGATGACTGTAATGCCATTCCTCTTCAATTTGTCATTCCTGGCATAGTAAACCTTGAGATTGCCAGATTAAGAATGGTCACTACCAGTCCATTGCCAGTCACGTATGCCTAGGACATCAATGTTTATGTGTTCCATAAGCACCATTTGTTGCAATGTGGTGGCTTACATGTTGCTGTGATACTGAAAGCTATGCCACTGGTATTTTGAATGCAGGAGGTTCACCCATGATGGAGAGCTTTCAGCTGAGCTTCCAGACTAAGACAGACTCAAATGGAGAGGCGGACTGCTTCCAAATTACTAGCCACTGAAATCCTTATGAATAGCAGTGAACACTGTCTGTCTGCACTTGAATATACTGAATGTTGAAACATGATAAAGAGCACCAAAATACTGCCAGGTATAGTGTTGGAAGATGAGCCCTCAGGTTTGAAAGCACACAAACTACAACTGGGGAAGAGTTGCTTCCTCAAAGTGGAGTTGACTGTAATGACGCAAGTGGAGTAAAGCCCTGAGGACCTTCATTTGCGGATGGGGAGAATGAGGAGAAACAGCTGTAAAAATACATCAATAATTGGAACAGGGAGTGTATGAAATATGAATCTAGGAAAATTGGAATTTTCAAATGAAATTTACATATAGTTTTATGATCATGGTTACAATCCCCTCTATGGGTGAGCACTCTCCCCACTTTTACCCTGTATTCCCCATTACTATTCACCCAGTTCCGTGCTCCTTCCCGCCTTCTGCATTTTACTTTGGACAAACACTGCTGTTTTGCTTTCCCATACTTCAGTGTTCTCGGGAGTATGCTTCTCACAGATGTTAATGTTTGGGCTGTAAGGTGGTCTCTGAGAGTGGGTCCATTCTAAGTTTGAAGGGTGTCTACAGGTATAGTCTCGGGTGTTCCGCCAGTTTCTATCACACAAGTAAATCTGGTCTTTTTTTATGAATTTGAGTTTTGTTCCACATTTTTATCTCACCCTGTCCGGGTCCTTCGATTGTCACTTTGGTTAGGGTTGATGCCAGTGATCGCCAGACACTATCCAGTTCTTCAGGTCTCATGCTAGTGGAAGCTATGGTTTGTGTGGTCCATTATGCCTCTGAACTAATTGTTTCACTGACTCTTTGATTTTCTTCACTCTGCTTTTGCTCCAGATGGGAAGAAACCAATAGTTGTATCTTAGATGGCTTCTCACAAGCTTTTACGACCCTAGAGTAGCTACTCCCCAAAGCAGGATATAAAACAGTCTTTACAAACAATGTTATACCAACTAACCAATGTTTCCTGAGATGCTAGTCCCTAGTTCTCCAGCCCAGTAATCCTGTGAGATATTGGATTATCAAGCTTCGTGACTGTGTGCCCTGTGGCAATGCTTAAATAAAGGTTCAGTTTGTGCAATAGTGGGTAGCTTTTTATTACCTTCTGGACTATAACATCAGTAAGGAGACCTGGTGGTGCAATGGTTAAGTGCTGCACTAACTGAAAGGTTCACAGTTCAAACCCACCAGCCACTTCATGGGAGATATGGCAGTCTGCTTCCATAGAGATATACAGCCTTGGAAACCCTACTCTGTCTTGCAGGGTCACTATGAGTTGGAATTGACTTGAAGGCAGTGGGTTTTATGTCAGTGTATGCACTATGATAGGCTCTTCTAACCTTTCCTATTGGAGATATCCTTGATGCTTACATTTCCTTCAGTTTTAAGATAAGACTGAGAAAAAGGGGAGGGTGGTTAATAGTGGTGTGGGCTTTAAAACAGCAAAACTCTAGAGAGTACAACGTGCCCAGTGAAGGAGGCTTCCTGTGGAGCTTCTGCTTTACACAAGACCATAAGAGAAATCCTGAACAGCATCCAGAATCTTCTAAGGGGAAATTTTCACTTGAAAGGACAAGCAGACCAGCCTGGAGTGGCCAGAAGCACAGAAGGTACTTCCTGAAAGAAAGACTGATAGGAAAAATACAGAACAATATAGGCAGACAGACTGATTACTACAAGAACAAAAAAGTGGCTCACCCCAGGAGACATCAAGGCAAGGCGTCAGGTCCCCCTCAGGGAAAACCCCCTTCTAAGACTAAGACTCAATGGGAATACACACTCTGATTGGTGACCACATTCATCACCGATAAGGGGAAGTGAGGGAAAAGCAGCAATGAAGCTGTGAGCTGAGCCCTAAAATGCTCAATAGACTCCTGTGATCCCAAGAGACCTGGTTGGCCAGCAGTGTGGCAAGTCCAGGGGACTCTTGGACCCAGAGTCAGTGACATAGCCACAGAGGACTAGAGTGGAGAGTGAAGT